TACATATTAAATTATCGGAACTATAAAATTAATTGAGTTTAAACGTAACAGATTTTTGGGTGACGCTTGGTTCGTGAAGTTGATCTGAATATGTTTTTTTACCCCTATTACGAATTTGACAGCAAATCCTAGGTAGATGATGATTATGACATAAGCAAAATTTCTGATGAATTATTTATCTCCGCTAAATTAAAGTCTGCGTTTTCCCCCTTAGAGATTCGCAAAATAAAAGATGATCAAAAATATTCCTGAAAAAATTAATAAAACATTAATGTAATATTTTTGTAATACAAATTTTTATCGTATTATTGCACGGGCCTTATGTAGCAACCAAATTTTTTCGTATAATTTACTGTTACAATATGTTGTGCTCATGTCACCATCTGTTCAGGAAGCATAATATGTTAATGAACTAATGTTTCTCAACAGAAACGCAACAAATCGCGAACATGTTACCTGTACCAACAAAAGGGTCACATCGTCAAAATTGCCAAAACGGATAAAGAACGATAATCAACCTAATAAGGGCATGATGTTTAATAACTCGAACATATGTCCGAATAAATTTACTGAAAATGGCACAATATTTTAGTATTAATGATAACCAATTTTCGAAAGGCACTTTATTGATTGAAAAATATGAGAATTCTCCTTTATTGGGCAAGGATTAAAGGATATCCTTTTTCTAACCTAACTTTGAGGAGACTAACATTTATGTATATTATAAGTAGAATAGAATTTAAGTGGTTTCGGAATTTTGTTTAGGATTTTAAGGTCAGAGTGTAGCTTTATGTAAAATATATTCTAACCTAAAAAAATATAATTTAAAAATTCCACTTAAATTCCTTTATCCGATAAACTCTTATGATCATCTGTCTGTTATTTTTTTTCATGTGTACAAATAATTTGTGGGATAACGCCATTATTCGGCAAATTTTTGATTTGGCTGAACGTGCCATTTCACAGCACGTGTTCATTTGCCCAATTGAACCAAATTACCGTTATAATGTATACTCATACAGTAATTTTTTCTTTTTAATGCAATGATCAAATTTAGCAAAGCCGTGTTATTTTATTGCACTACCAATATTACCAAACCGTCTTCAAAATTCCTTATTTGGGTGATCTACATAAAGGTAAATACCAGAAACGAATGTAATGAGTGTATGGTTTATACGCTGTTTGGAGTAGGATTTGACCGCAAAATCTTAAGTTTGATTGGTCCACATGACTTATTCATCAAACTTTGCTTATTTTTCATATACATTTCATTGCGCCCTATACGTATCTATGTAATTCTTGCTGCTTTACCCGTGATCTGTCTTGCAATTTTGTGATATCTCTCATGATTTGAG